AACCAGTAACCGGCCGTATATTTTTTTGATAGCCTTACTGATAGCCTTGAAAGGCTATATCAGCTTCACCCTAACGTGTAGGTGAGCTTACGAGACTCAAACCGGAGTGGTGCTAACACTGGCCCTAGCAAGAGCCGTGCTTCGCAGAACCTACCACCGGATCGGAAACGCGACCCACTGAGAAGATCCGGCGAGAAATTCAGTGGGCTGTGTCTGTGGGTTAATTCAAGCGACGGGTTCGACGAGGACGGTGACCGGTGCTTGTGGTACCTAAGAGTACTGTTAATGGATCAGGAGGATCCGTAATGACGTGTTTTGGGCGACGTCGACTGTTTACCGTTCGGTCTACAGGATCGGGTATGCCAGACTTATAGTTTTTTGTGTACAAATTAAATATATGGCTTCGACGGTTTTCCGCGTCGTTACGTTGAAGCGCCATCTGTTGTATCATATTAAACACCAACAGATGTGCGGAATTTGTATGAGAATCTCAAATATATTTTGTTTGCGTTTGAAACAATTAAACTATAATAATTCCACGCTAAATAGAGACGGTCAGTATGCTTTAACGGCCGTCTGGTGTAGTGGTAAGTGAAGTGACATGGTCACTACACAAGGGGGTCGCGGGTTCGAATCCCGCCAAGGGAAGATATTTGTATGATATATATAAATGTCTTTTCCAGGGTTATGGATGTATATTAAATATATGTATGTGTATAATAAAAAAATCTTACATTTATTTCCGTTATCTGGTACCCGTAACACAAGTTCTTTACGAACTTATCACGGGACCAGTTAACGTGGCGTGATTGTTAGTAAATATTTATTTATTTATTATTATTATTATTATTATTATTATTTGTATGTTTCCGCTAGCAACATGATTTTTATTCCGGAACGTACTATAGAACTATCTAGAATCTAGGTCGAGAGCACCCTCCAGACTAGCTCTGTCCGCTGTGAGTTCCTTTTAAATCCGGAGGCAAATGTTGCTTGGGGGTACCTTGCGTCTAAGATTTTTTCATAGACATACACAACAATGTCTATAATGTACAAAATAAAATGTAGACAGAAACGTCCCTATTTGGCATATAACTCTCAAATCTTCAATCTTTGCCCTAATGTTGCTTCTGTATCAAAAATTAAATGTCGCATCTAAACTTTATCTACTCATTGTATAGCGTTGTTTATTATAGGCTAATCTTCCTGATTAAGACGGTGTATCTATACTAATATATAAATCTACAGTGGCTTTTACGGATGTTCCGTTATAACTACTGAACCATGCATCCGATTGACTTGAAACTTGGTATCCATGTAGAATATACATGTACTTAATGGATAGGCTATTTATATGAGTGTTGGACTCCCTAATAATAATGACAATAAATAATAATGTTAATTTTAAATGCGCAGTGAAGCGGGCGACTACAGCTATTGTGTATATATATATATAACGGTTAAATCTTTATCGGTTTTCTCAATGAATGAACCCAGTACAGTGTAATTAGTGCGAGTTTTTTAACTCCTCGATCGCGTAAAAGTTAACTCTAATTTGTATGGAGTTGGAAAGTTTGGCTACGTTTGCCGCTAGGCGCGCTGTTCCAACTGCATACGAGTTAACTTTTACGCTATCGAGAACGTTAAAAAAAACTCGCACTCAGCACTCAGAACCTATTTTTCTGCTTAGACAATTATTGTATAAAGCGGCCCGCTCCGGCTCCGCTCGGGTCTTTAACAAAAATTTAACGATATTTGACGTTGTTTTATTTTTTTAAATAAAATAACACTTATTGCGGCATAACTATAATAGTTAGACATATGCCGTCGGGACATTTTTTGTAAATAATAATGTGTTCTACAAAGTCGTAGTATATTATTTTATTCTATCATCAATAATTTTCACAGGGCACGCGATGTAAAGAATATTATATGAAGTGTAGCTTCCAAACAGTGAAAGAATTTTTAAATCGGTTCAGTAGTTTCGGAGCCTATTCAATACAAACAAACAAAAAAAATCTTTCCTCTTTATAATTAGTATAGATTTATAATATTAGTATAGATGAACTTAGCTACCGTTTTTTTCCTCTATCATAGCAAACTTCACTCTAATACTCGAATTATTAAAGCGACATTTCTTGACCCCGGAAGATCTATCAAAACAGACACGTGTATATTGTGATAAAGATTTATCAAGGAACATTTTGTTTTCCTTAAAAGAAATGTATCATCTATTTATCTTAATTACACGCGACATTATCCAAGCGCCCGTGTCACTAACCCTTAACAAATCATGCGACTATGAACTCTGCTGCTGTGAGCATAAGGAACTGCTGTTCATAAAATTGACGTCACTGCCGTACGTGAATATGGATTTTTAATGTCATTTTAAACACGTGATTAAAATTGTTTTCTTTTTTATAACCGACCCAAAAAAAGGAGGAAGTTATCGATTCGATCTGTTCTTTTTATGCATCGCAATTTTTTTTCTAGATTAAGCCATTTTGATTTTATCAATATATGAGCTGTCATTTTTTTATTATTCTTTATAAGTCCATGCATAACTGACTTCGACTATACTGAGTTGGTGATTATATCATCAGTAGGTAATGTTACGCCGGTAAGAGTAACGCCATTTATCGCCGAACGAATATCGAAGGATCTAGTAGCATTTAGAACGATCGAGAAGTACAACGCCATCTATTGTCAGATAGCGGAAACACACAATACTCGATTTATGTGGAATGTTCTCGATAATTTTAGGGATTCGTCTCGAGTCTCGACTATAATAGCGTTGCAGAGATGGCACGCAGTCAGTTAGTAATCGGAACTACTCGAAACGAAACAGCGAACGGATCATCTGAAGCGAAACGGAAGAAGTGAATTGGGAACTTTAAAAGTGTTTGTTGAGTGTTTTAAATGTTCTAAGTGTCGAAAACAGTTTTAAGTTGTACTTTGGAGGAACATTTACTTATCCCGAACCCCAGCGCGTTACAGTAATATAAATCTTTGAATGTAGTACAGACTTCAGCTCTCTTAAAAGCTAACAAAATAAATTTTCATGTTAATTTGTATTTGTAATAATGCATTTTAAGAGAGAAGATAAATAAATATAATTTTTATTATTTGTTAAAATTGTGTACTTGTAGTGTATACTTTTTAATGTAATCTATGTTATTTGTTAGATATTTATTCCTGTATGGTGTCCCAATCAAAGTAAATTATTTATGCAAGTAATTAATTATTATTGGAAGTCAACCTTCAAACTACCTATCAACCCTCGAGATGTTTTGATTTTTTTTTTTTTATTGCTTAGTTGGGTGAAAGACCTCACGGCTCACCTTATGTCAAGTGGTCACTGGAGCCCATAGACATCTACAAAGGAAATGCCGCCACCTACCTTGAGATATGAGTTCTAAGATCTCAGTATAGTTACAAACGCTGCCTTCAAACCGAAACGCATTACTGCTTCACGGCAGAAATAGACAGGGTGGTGGTACATACCTTGCGGACTCACAAGAGATCCTACCACCACCAGTATTCTACTGCCGAATCCCTTCAGAACTGTTGTTAGTTAAAACATTGAAAATGTTTATTACTTAGACGAGTTTCATATGAGATTGCAGACCCACAACCGCAGTCCACCTTGAGGTTTGAGGTCGCTGTCATATAACGCACTAAGCCAATGATTGCCCGTACGTGTACAAACGCGCACGTAACACACATTCTGTAACATCCTGCGACGCAGATTTGTCTCAATAAAACCCTTTATGTAAACGTAACATAGAATCGATTAATACAGACGGTACATTAATGTCCGGTGAATTTCGTAATAGGCAAAATGGACGCCAATATGAAAATTATTTAACCTCTTCAGGGACGAATTTTTTAAAGTACAATAAACATGAATTCAGTTTATTATTTATTGCAATTTGTTCATTTTACATTGAAATCAATTAACCGTGGGCGGCGGTGAATCACTTACCATCAGGTGACCCGTCTTGCTCGTTTGCCTCTTAGCTGTCATAAAAAAAAAATAGTAAAAAAAACAATTAGTCAAAATTATTTTTTGGCAATTTAGCGTAGCGGTAAATAGATGAATAATTAAAAAAAAACGTACTCATATGTGCCAATGTCGCTGAAAAGCTTAGAAAGTGTGCATAATGGTTGTTAATTTGACATTAAGATATTTATTTTATCAATAACCAAATTCAATGGTGTCCTCTATGACTAATGGTTTTCATCGGTGTAAGGAAAACGGTTAGCTTATTGGTTTTCATTCAATAATGTCACACATGATGCAGTAAGATATTTTCAGTTGTGTTTTGAATAGAAAAATTAGTTTGTCCTATGATTACCCGAAAGACGTGAGATATAATTTACTATTAAAACTATTAACAATGCTGGTGTAAAGCACAAAACTATTTGAAGCATTTCCTTAATGTATCAAGCTTATTAAAACACCACATGCTCAACACGAAAGCTGGTGTTGAGAACCTAAAACCTAAATCGGAATATACTTCCCAAGTCTCTCAGAAGACTCACGAAAATAGGTAATGTAAACAACGAAAATCTATAAATTGATTGACTAACATAATCTGTACCGATATTACAAACAATCGCAGACGCAGCATAAACAAATCACAAGCCGTCACTGTCTCACCCGATACGTTCGTCTCGCTCTCTCTCTCGATGTTTACCATTTTCCTGTGTAACCAAAGTTAGTTGCCGTCGAGACACGACACGTGATAGTCGTTGTTTTTTTTTTTTAAATTAGTGAATATCTAAGTACTGTGAGTGTAATAGTGAACAATGCATTTCAGTGTCCATATATAAAAAAAAAGTTACCTCGCAAAGGGTTCTGTGTCGATAAACTGTTTTGTTTTGGGAAATGAATGTTCATAGTTTATTCTCAGTAATGCTTATCGCTTGACACAGTTCGTTCGTCAGAACTGTGTAATATCTGCCTTTTAAATGTAATTTATATGATTTTTTTTATTAATTACTTTAATAGTTTGCACAGGGTACTCGGTAAGTACAATAAAAGATGGGAGGATATGATTGTCACATTAAACCAATGATTACCATTCGGATTAAGGAAGGTTGATTAGGGTCACGTAATATCACTGTCGTATTCCTAAAAATTTTTTTACTGGTGGTAGAACCTCTTGTGAGTCCGCGCGGGTAGGTACCACCGCCCTGCCTATTTCTGCCGTGAAGCAGTAATGCGTTTCGGTTTGAAGGGTGGGGCAGCCGTTGTAACTAAACTTGAGACCTTAGAACTTATATCTCAATATGGGTGGCGCATTTACGTCGTAGATGTCTATGGACTCCAGTAACCACTTAACACCAGGTGGCCCGTGAGCTCGTCCTCCCATCTAGGCAATAAAAATAATAAATAAATAAAAAAACATCCAACACTAAACCGATCTGATTTATCACCCGAAGTCTAGGAAAATAATGTTATCGGCAACTGCGTAGATCTTCATTTCGTTATTACATACCGATTTTGTTTCAATAACACACGCGATCTTTAGAATGAGCTTCTAGGTGTGCTGAATGCTTCTTCAAGCTAGATTTCGCACGAGGGTAGGCAGAGGCTCATCATCATAGTCGGTTACTATTGGCAGAGCAGTCGTGGTCATGTGGAATTCTTGTTTATTAAAGTCTTGACAGATGTTTTCCATAGTTTGCGAGCTTGGCTCACGCACTCGTTAAGTTGGGTTTTAGTAAGGTCTCTCACCTGATCAGTCCAGCGCATGGGGATTTGTCCACGAGGTATTTTACCATTGACCCTACCTTTTTTTTTCTCCTACCTAAGCTGGTAGCCTGGAGCGGCTATTCCAGCGTAACCGTAACTAGTAGGTGAGCTCACGGGGCTCAAACCTGACGACGTTGCTAACACGAACCCTAGCAAGAGCCGTGCTTCGCAGAATCTACCACCGGATCGGAAACGCGACCCACTGAGAAGATGCGGCGAGAAACTCAGTGGGCTGTGTCTGAGGGTTTATTTACTCGCCGAGCCCTTCGTCGCTTGCGACGGGTTCGACGAGAACGGTGACCGGTGCTTGAAGTCCCTAAAAGCACCGTTAGTGGATCGGGAGGATCCGAAATGACGTGTTGGCCCTACCATGAACAACAAGTTTCTCGATAGACTCTGCTGGCCGTCGCGATACGTGTCCAAAATATCGAAGAATCCTGGATTGCACAGGCAGCGGCTAAGCTAAACAAAAAAAGGCCACGCTCTGACTAAGACGAGGTAAATGAGCGACAGTGCCAAATTACAATTAGGCCTATCGATTACCTTAGTGGGTAATAAAAGAATATTAATATTGAAGGAACTTCGATATTCCATTGGTTCATTGTCTCTGTTTGAACGCCGCGGTAACAACTTAACAAGTCTAGGGTTAAAATTATCGGTCTTTGTCCAAACTTTTTGGCATTAGCGTTTGTAATAAGAGTAATTAGAAATGAATTTGGTAAACAGGATTTAAATTATGATTGATCATTTTAAACACCCTTTCGTAAATATCTCACGAAACTACAACACTAGATACTCTTGCAACACAGGCAGACATTTAGATATAATTTTTGCTATAGTGTTGCCAATACTGTATTAATTATTGCTGACTTTTAACGTATGGTATGTGTATGTTTTTGGCTAGTTTAATATAAGATTAATGTTAAGTCTAGCGTTGAATGTATAAATGAATAATTGAAGTATTTTCAATGCTTAGTTATCACTTTGATTTTAAATACACGGTGTTATTAGTTCGTCGTGAAACTTTTGGATACATGTTAACCCTTTGCCCTACGCGGCGTACTGAAGTAATATGTCAATTTCTGTTACTTAGCGCGCCTGGATTATCTAACTTTGCTTTAATTCGTTTGTTAATGTACGTTTTAGTCTGTTAGGTCTCTTAGAAATACGATTCATTTTCAGTATAGTTCAGATTCGTCTTTCCCAGAGTCTAGAGTTAATTGAAATTATAAATTTGAACATTATTATGGTTCTATTGTCAAAGACTATTATAATTCTATAATCACAGATTTCGCCAAAACTACACTATAGACAAATAATATTACAGATAAACAATATTAACCTATTCTCAATTAGACCATAGACATAAAGCAAAAGTTTGACAATAAACAAAGAGTGTGTGTGTGCCAAATACACGGTAGTTTGAGTAATATTTTTTTTATTGATTTAATGTATCATTTATGCATTTTTTTTTTTAATTTTTATCATTCTGCACTCCTCTATATTCTCTATAAGCGTGGGAAATTTCATACTCCTCCGTCCGCGCAATTTTCGTAAAAAGGGGTGTACAAAGTTTTTGCTTCGCGTATTAATATATAGATAATAAATATGTACTTTAATTTGGAAATATTACTTCTATTGTATTATACGTTTTTATCTAAAGTATAAATAAGGATTTAGGTCATCCGTATTTGTTGTAACAATCGTTATTTAAATACAATGTACTGATTTGTAGGGTCGCAGCTATTTGCGGCCTAAAGGAATGCGCCCTGGCTTGGAGGAGGGTGCGATATCCGTTATTACAATGTAGCAGGGAGCCAGTTATTTTTTTATCGCTTAGATGGTTGGATAAGCTCACGGCCCACCTGGTGTTGAGTGGTTACTAGCCCATAGGCATCTACAACCTAAAATGCTTGAAATATAAGTTGTAAGGTCTCAGTATAGTTACAACGGCTGCCCCGCCCTTCAAACCGAAACGCATTACTGCTTCACGGCAGAAATAGGCAGGGTGGTGGTACCTACCCGTGCGGACTCACAAGAGGTCCTACCACCAGCAATTACGCAAATTATAATTTTGCGGGTTTTATTACACGATGTTATTCCTTCACCGTGGAAGTCGTTTTTTTTAATTGCCAATTCTAACTCGGCTAGTTGCAACTTTTTCGTGACGTCATTTGAGGCCAAACGAACATTAAAGCTTGATATACCTACATTAATATATCACGATCGAATTGCTTCGAGGTTGGTGTTTAGTTTGTCGTGACGGATATTGGAATATTCGATTCTATTTGGTCAATTGAACCTTTACGCCCGCCAATATAGAGCGTTGATAAGTTTCGTTTTGATTGATAAGGCTTGAATCCAAGTTGGTTTTATTTTGATTTGGCTATGAGCTTACGAAAATATTTATAAACGACCCGTGTGCTTAGTGCGGCTTTTCTAACTTCTCCATCGCGTAAAAGTTAACTCAAATTTGTGTGAAATTGGAACAGGGCCCTTAGCGGCAAACGAAGGGAAGCTGTTCCAACTCTATACAAACTATGAGTTAACTTTAACGCGATCGAGTAGTTAAAAAACTCGCACTAAGCACACAGGCACGGCCGACTGCCCCTGGCAATGTCAATGGCAGAAGGATTAAAGCGTTAATAACGCTGGCACAGAGCGTTGACCCAAAACGGGGCTGGAGACCAGAACCGAACAACAAAGGAACGTTTCTCACGATATTAATTACACGGTACAACTTTTACTGTTTACTTCAATAGAATAATGATTAGGGTTACGCTGTCATTTGATCGTAAGGTTCATATTCAGTGCTAGGTCAATGAACGGTGAAAGATTTCAGTTGGTAACAGAACTCGCCTGTCGAGCCTTTTGTGATGCTAATACTAATTATACTTGAGATAACTTGATGTAACTACACTTGAGACCTTAGAACTTGTATCTCAAGGTGGGTGGCGCATTAACGTTGTAGATGTCTATGGGCTCCAGTAACCACTTAACACCAAGTGGGCTGTGTGCTCGTCCACCCATCTAAGCAATAAAAAAAACTTACCTATAAGTTTTGTGAGCACCAAATGTCATTATTTAGATGAGCTCCAACGTGTTGGCATCTCATGGTCAGCTTGGTGTTAAATGGAGACAAAGTCACCGTTCTCGTCGAAATCGTCGATGACGACGAAGAGTTCGACAAGTGAACTAGCCCTTAGATCCAGCCCACTGAGTTTCTCGCCGGATCTTCACAGTGGGTCGCGTTTCCGATCCGGTGGTAGATTATGCGAAGCACTGCTCTTGCTAAGGCTAGTGTTAGCAATTCTCTCAGGTTGAGTCCGTGAGCTCACTTACGCGTCCGCGAGTAGCTGAAATAGCCCCTTAGGCTACTAGCAAATAGGTAGGGACAAAAATTGAGACAGGCGCTAATATACTGCAATATATGTGCTGCCCATAACCTTTTTTTTTTTAAACCATAACCTAGGAGCATTACAATGAAGGCCATCTATGCACTGCTTTCTTATCCTTCGAACAGGAAGGCACGGGGGTGTCGGATCCTACCCTTGAGGTCCCTGTGGACCCGTGTACACTTTCGCACATCATAAAAGAAAAAGATTATTAATTCAACTGTATTTTCCGTCCAATTTTTTTTCTAGATAAAACGATTTCGGTGATTCTTTTTGGAACCTGGTGCTACTTATTTATTCCTTTTTAAAATTTACCAAGAATCGACCAGGATAACTAGAAAGTGTCCTTAATAATGAATATTTCATTGGCTTCATTTATGTTATTCTCACTTTGTCTGTTTATGATGAAGTCTGTCAACTGCTATTTTTTTTATTAAACTTTTGTATTGTGTGAATTTCGTATTATTTTTGCTGCTTGTTTGTAAGTTTCAATTGTTTTGGGAATAATTTCACTGTACGCGAAAGAAATCGAAAGTGTCATAAAAATATTGCTTGTGTTTGGGCGTATTGTGAGATCGCTCGGGTAGGTACCGCTAACCTGCCAGTTGCGGCCGGGACGACATTTATGCAAGGCAATTGAGACTCGGACCTCAAGCCTCAAGGTCACGGCTGCGGCATTCACGCGGTTGTGTGTTGTCTGAAGTTCTGCTAACTAGTTTACGGCATTCGAGCTATGAGTTCGTAACGTTGTCAAATTTTTTTTATGATTGAAGTGTTACTGGTGGTCCGGAAGCCTTTCCAGTTTCACCAGGACAGGTAGGCGAGCAAGGGCTCAGCCAGGAGTTGTCGTTCTAAGACGGGACAAGATCTGCGTC